AAAGAATCTCGGGTCACGCTGGGGTCTTGTCTTTGAAAAAATTTAAAAGAATCTTGAGGACTCCTTGTGTCTTATTTTTGACAGAATTTGAAAAAATCTTCAAGACCCCTGGTGTTTTGTTTTTGAAAAATATAGAAGGATCTCAAAGACTTGTGGTGTCTTGAGAGAATTTGAAAGAATCTTGAAAACGCCAGAAATAATGTTTTTGACAGAATTTGAAAGAATTTCAGAGAATCTTATTTTTGACAAAATTTGAAACTGTGTCTAGTCAAGCCCTTGGTGGCTCATTTTTGAAAGAATGTTTTGTGCCGTTGGAGTCTTGTCGTTGAAAACATTTGAAAGAATCTCGAAGATCCTTTATGACTTATATTTAACAGAATTTGATGTTTTTGAGAGAATTTGAAAGAGTCTTGGGGATCTCTGGTGTCAGTCTTACTCTTGAAATAGGAGTAATTTATAAGAATCGGGAGGACCCCTAGTGGTTTCATTTTCATAAAATTTGAAAGAATCTCGGGTCCCGCTGGGGTCTTGTCTATGAAAAAATTTAAAAGAATCTTGAGGATTCCTTGTATCTTATTTTTGACAGAATTTGAAAGAATCTTCAAGACCCCTGGTGTTTTGATTTTGAAAAATGTAGAAGGATCTCGAAGACTTGTGGTGTCTTGAGAGAATTTGAAACAATCTTGAAGACGCCAGAAATAATGTTTTTGACAGAATTTGAAAGAATCTCAGAGAATCTTATTTTTGTCAAAATTTGAAAAGGTGTCTAGGCAGATCCTTGGTGGCTCATTTTTGAAAGAATTTTTGTGCTGTTGGAGTCTTGTTGAAAAAATTTGAAAGAATCTCGAACATCCCTTATGACTTATATTTAACAGAATTTGATGTTTTTGAGAGAATTTGAAAGAGTCTTGAGGATCTCTGGTGTCAGTCTTACTCTTGAAATAGGAGTAATTTATAAGAATCGGGAGGACCCCTAGTGGTTTCATTTTCATAAAATTTGAAAGAATCTCGGGTCCCGCTGGGGTCTTGTCTATGAAAAAATTTAAAAGAATCTTGAGGATTCCTTGTATCTTATTTTTGACAGAATTTGAAAGAATCTTCAAGACCCCTGGTGTTTTGATTTTGAAAAATGTAGAAGGATCTCGAAGACTTGTGGTGTCTTGAGAGAATTTGAAACAATCTTGAAGACGCCAGAAATAATGTTTTTGACAGAATTTGAAAGAATCTCAGAGAATCTTATTTTTGTCAAAATTTGAAAAGGTGTCTAGGCAGATCCTTGGTGGCTCATTTTTGAAAGAATTTTTGTGCTGTTGGAGTCTTGTTGAAAAAATTTGAAAGAATCTCCAACATCCCTTATGACTTATATTTAACAGAATTTGATGTTTTTGAGAGAATTTGAAAGAGTCTTGGGGATCTCTGGTGTCAGTCTTACTCTTGAAATAGGAGTAATTTATAAGAATCGGGAAGACCCCTAGTGGTTTCATTTTCATAAAATTTGAAAGAATCTCGGGTCCCGCTGGGGTCTTGTCTTGAAAAAATTTAAAAGAATCTTGAGGACTCCTTGTGTCTTATTTTTGACAGAATTTGAAAAAATCTTCAAGACCCCTGGTGTTTTGTTTTTGAAAAATATAGAAGGATCTCGAAGACTTGTGGTGTCTTGAGAGAATTTGAAAGAATCTTGAAAACGCCAGAAATAATGTTTTTGACAGAATTTGAAAGAATTTCAGAGAATCTTATTTTTGACAAAATTTGAAAGTGTGTCTAGTCAGACCCTTGGTGGCTCATTTTTGAAAGAATCTTTTGTTGGAGTCTTGTCGTTGAAAAAATTTGAAAGAATCGCGAAGATCCCTTATGACTTATATTTAACAGAATTTGATGTTTTTGAGAGAGTTTGAAAGAGTCTTGGGGATCTCTGGTGTCAGCCTTACTCTTGAAACAATTTAAAAGAATCGGGAGGACCCCTAGTGGGTTCAATTTTAAAAAATTTGAAGGTATCTCGGGTACCGCTGGGGTCTTGTCTTTGAAAGAATTTAAAAGAATCTTGAGGACCCTTTGTGTCTTATTGTTGACAGAATTTGAGAAAATCTTCAAGACTCCTGGTGTTTTTTTTTTGAAAAACGTGGAAGGATCTCGAAGACCTGTAGTGTCTAAATTTTGAGAGAATTTGAAAGAATCTCGGAGATGCCAGGAATAATGTTTTGATAGAATTTGAAAGAATCTCGGGTGCATCTTATTTTTGACAAAATTTGAAAGAGAGTTTACTCAGATCTTTGGTGTCTTATTTTTGAAAGAATCTTGAGTGCCCCCTGGAGTCTTGTCCTTGAAAAAATTTTGAAAGAATCTCGGGAGCCTCATTATGGCTTGTATTTGATAGAATTTGATGTTTTTGAGAGAATTTGAAAAAATCTTCAAGACCCCATGTGTTTTGTTTTTGAAAAATGTAGAAAAATTTCGAAGACCTGTGATGTCTAAATTTTGAGAAAATTTGAAAAAATCTTGTTACCTATCTCTAATGTCTTGTTTTTGAAAGAATTTGAAAGAATCTGGGGAACATTTTATTCTTGACAAAATTTAAAAGCGTGTCTACTCACACCCCTGGTGTCTTATGTTTGAAAGAATCTTCGATGCCGCTGGAATTTTATCCTTGAAAATTTTTTAAATAAATCTCGAGGGCTCCTTGTGACATGTATTTGATAAAATTTTATGTTTTTGAGAGAATTTAAAAGAATTTTGGGGATCTCTGGTGTCAATCTTGCTCTTGAAATCATTTAAAAGAATAGGAGGACCCCTTAGTGGTTTCATTTTGAAAAAAATTTAAAGAATTTTAGGGATTTCTGGGGTCTTCTCTTTGAAAGAATTTGAAAGAATCTTGAGGACTCCTTGTGTCTTATTTTTGACAGAATTTGAAAAAATCTTCAAGACCCCTGGTCTTTTGTTTTTGAAAAATGAGGAAGGATCTCGAAGACCCGTGGTATCTAAATTTTGATAGAATTTGAAAGAAGCTCGGGAGCATCTTATTCTTGACAAAATTTGAAAGCCTGTCTACTCACACCCCTGGTGTCTTATGTTTGAAATAATCTTCGATGCGGCTGGAATTTTAAAAGAATCTCTAGGGCTCCTTGTGGTTTCATTTCCAAAAAATATGAAAGAATCTCGGGTACCGCTGGGGTCTTGTCTTTGAAAGAATTTAAAAGAATCTTGAGGACTGCCTGTGTCTTATTTTTGACAGAATTTGAGAAAATTTTCAAGACCCCTGGTGTTTTCTTTTTGAAAAATGTGTAAGAGTCTCGAAGACCTGTAGTGTCTAAATTTTGAGAGAATTTGAAAGAATCTCGGAGATGTCAGGAATAATGTTTTTAATAGAATTTGAAAGAATCTTGGGTCCATCTTATTTTTGACAAAATTTGAAAGCGTGTCTACTCAGATCCCTGGTGTCTTATTTTTGAAAGAATCTTGGGTGGCGCTGGAGTCTTGTCTTTGAAAAAATTTGAAAGAATCTCAGGTACCGATGGAGTCTTGTCTTTGAAAGAATTTAAAAGAATCGTGAAGACTCCTTGTTAGCTTGTGTCTTATTTTTGACAGAATTTGAAAAAATCTTCAAGACCCCTGGTGTTTTCTGTTTGAAAAATGTGAAAGGATCTCGAAGACCTGTGGTGTCTAAATTTTGAGAGAATTTGAAAGAATCTCGGCTACCTACCTCTAATGTCTTGTTTTTGATAGAATTTGAAAAAATCTCGGGAGTATCTTATCGTTGACAAGTTTTGAAAGCGTGTCGACTCAGATCCCTGGTGTTTTATTTTTGAAAGAATCTTGGGTGCCGCTGGAGTCTTGTCCTTGAAACAATTTGAAAGAATCTAGACGACCCCTTATGACTAGTATTTGACACAATTTGTTGTTTTTGAGAGAATTTGGAAGAATCTTGAGGATTTCTGGTGTCAGTCTTACTCTTGAAACAATTTAAAAGAATCTCGAGGACACCTTATGACTTGTATTTGACAGAATTTGATGTTCTTGAATCTTGAGAGAATTTGAAAGAATCTTGGGGATCTCTGGTGTCAGTCTTACTCTTGAAATAATTTACAAGAATCGGGAGGACCCCTAGTGGTTTCATTTTGAAAAAATTTGAAAGAATCTCGGGTACTGCTGAGGTCTTGTCTTTGAAAGAATTTAAAAGAATCTTGAGGGCTCCTTGTGTCTTATTTTAGACAGAATTTGGAAAATCTTCAACACCCCTGGTGTTTTGATTTTGAAAAATGTAGAAGGATCTCGAAGACCTGTGTGAATCTTGGGTACCGACCTCTAATGTCTTGTTTTTGAAAGAATTTGAAAGAATCTAGGGCGCATCTTATTTTTGACAAAATTTGAAAGCGTGTCTAGTCAGATCCCTGGTGTCTCATTTTTAAAAGAATCTTGGGTGCCGCTGGTGTCTTGTCTTTAAAAGAATTTAGAAGAATCTCGAGGTCCCCTTAGATTTTATTTTTGAAAGAATTTCCTTGTCTTGAATTTGAAAGATTTAAAAAAAAAATCCCCCAGCCACAAATGTTTTGTTTTAGATGAGAATCATTTTTATTTGTATTAATATCATTATATTATACATTCTGTCTAAATATGTTTAGATCAATGCTGATTACGGTGATGCTGACTTTCGTGAGATAACAAGTCATATTTTATCAGCCAGTTGTCCTTACTGGGGTATCATCTGTCAAATATTGGTCAACAGGTTAAGGTTAAGGGAAAGAGGTTTTAACACCCTGAAATAACGCAAATTACGAAAAAAGGGTACGTGCACATTCAAAGAGAGTTATTTAATTGTAATTTATGCGATATTATTGTTTAAAATTAATTAATTTATAAAATTTTTATTGACACTGGACAGTTGCGCGTGCGCACTACATTAATAACAGGACCGTATTTCCATTTTCCCTTGAATATACTTAAAACTGAAATTTTGTCAACTACAATAGCATTGTATTTAGAACTTAATAATCAAACGAATCAAATACTATATCTGTGCTAGTTTTATTGCAGAAAATTGTCAAACAAAGCAGACAATGACTTAATCTTATGAAACTACAGGACCGTAACGAATATTTTAAAACCTACTAGAGTTTTATCACAAAATATAAATAACAACATAAATAAACATCCCCTACTAGTTTAAAATGGATGATTACAACCATTAATTTTCGAATGACAGTCGTGCGGCGTCCCGATAATATCCACCCCCTCCCCTCTCAATTCCATAATCAAATTTTTCACATCCCCATGCCTCGCGTCCTTCTTCTTCACCTCCATCTTCCGCAACTTCGGAAAAACTTCCACCAACTCATGCGCACACACATTCATCAGAAAATTCGACGGAAGCCCTAAAACCTCCAAAGATACCAACCCTTGAAACTGCGCCAAATTAAAATCGACAAATTTATTATGATGCAATTCCAAAATTTTGAGTTTGTGCAGATGTTTAAAAGTACCAAGTTCAAAATGCCGCAACTTATTAAAATTGACGCTTAAAATCTCAAGGTCGGTTGTGTTATCAAAAGCATCGGCGTCGATTCGCTCCAAATGACAGCTCCTGATGGACAGTTCGTGCAGTTTTGTGCTATTTTTGAAAAACTCGCCGGTGAGGTGTTCAAATTTTTGGTTCTGTATGTGCAACCAGGTTAAGTTTTCCAAAATTTGGAACGCGTTTGGTGTGAGTGCGTGGTTGTTGGAGATGAGGGACAGCCAGTTGATGTGTGTAGAGGGGGCGAGAGTTTCTGCTGTCAAATTAGGGAATTTTTTGTTTTTGGTAATTGTCAGAAATACCAGTTGGGGGAAGTGGCCTAGAGTGAATGTGTCAATGCGGCTGTGGGAGACCACCAGGTACTTTAAGCTGTCTAAAGTAAGGTTCGAGAGGTCCAATGGGCCTGTGATATTCTTAAAAATAAGCTTTTCTACGTTGTGTGCAGGTATATGGGTTTCCCATCCCGAGGTCACGTGATGGTTTGAGCACGTCACTTGTGGCAGCTTGTGAGTGACGCTAAATTTACAAAAATCGTCGCACAGGGTTGCCACCACCAGTACTAAAATTGTTCCAACTGTAGCCCAATTCACACCCATCCTAAAATTTGTCACAAAATAAAATATAAACTATTGTCAAGCCACAACAGCACCTACTTGATTGTGGAACAAAATATCAACAACTAAACCAGAACGCACCACCAGAACACCGATAACAATTTATTTTAGTCGCATAAACACAGATCATACGTACATTGCATGACTCTCATGTGAAAAATTCGATAAAATCACTTAAGCAGGTCAAATGTCAAAAATCTTCGCAGTTGTTACGAAAAACTGACCACTCTCGTTGCCACCAGCAATTCGTAGCACGCAAAAACCAGCTTTTTGGGGGCTTTGGAGACTTTGTCCTTCAGCGCCATGCTGCATGTGCCCTTCATCAAATGAAACAAGTCTGGATAGAACTGGAAAAAAGAGTTACAACGTTTCGAGAGTGACAAGACACACCTTCATGCCCTCGATGCCTTCTTCGTTGAAGCTTTGACTCACTTCCGTACAGTCCACATAGATGGCGTTGAGCGGAGTCACGTGTAACATGAGGTGGTTCTTTTGTTTCGTTTTTTCAGGGTTGTATTCGCGCATTTGGAAAACCACACTGCGACGACCTACAGGCATATTCCAGCGCGACCACGCAAAGTTGAAACAAACACCTAACTGCGCCATATTGAAATAGAGATTTTTTTCCATTGGCCAGTGCTTTTCGCACGTGGTTTCAATATAGCAGAAAGCGTCAAACGCGGGAAAAACATCAACGCCAGCACTTTGCAGTACCTGCAACTTAAAACGTAGGTAACCCACTACCAACCTAACGACCCATTACCCTAATCAACTTAGGCAGCTCGTAGTACGTCCCTATAATATCTTGTAGTGCGTTATTCGGGCTATTTTGCAACTGCGACAACGCTATAAGCCCATCTTTAACATTAAACTCCACCATCAAAATCGCCGCGGTTATCTGCAGCGAAACCGTACCACTACAAACAAATTAAAATCCCCCAAACATCCACCGACTTACTTCGCCTCAGGCCGCATCTCCCATGCTTGGTACGGCAGGTTGGCATACCTGTACACCGCCAACCCAAAAATGGCGCCCTTCCTCGTCCTGAAACTCAGTTGCCCTTTCTCTTCGTTGTGCTTCAAATCGTGGACTTCCTGCTTCGACCAAACCCGTTGCTCGGCGTCCCAGAAGCACACCATTGGTAGTTCCAAGAAAATGACGTGCTCAGGCCACCTAAATTTCCGTCAGTGTTACCAATCGTTGCACATACTCACGTCAAAGTTACTAGAACTAGTTTCTCGAGTTCCTCCTCGTGTTTCTTCATTTCTTCCTCGATTTCTTCGGGGGGGCGGCGTACGTTGGGCTCGTGCACCGCGGGGAGGCTGTAGTCGAGGTACAAGTCGACGAGTTCGAGTTCCTTGGGGAGATATACTGGGAAAAATGAATTTGGGGGGTTCGTGGTACGTACGTGGTGTTAAGTTCATTTCTAGGGTGACGAAGTCCTGGGGTTGCGGGGGTTGGTGGACGAGATTTAGGTAGTAGACGCCGCCTATGATGCTGTATTTGCGGAGGTTGATGACGTCATCCGGGACGGTTTTGATTAGAGCGGAGCGAGTTTCTTTGTAGAGTTTCTCTGTAAAAGACTTTTTGTTCTTCAAAAATGAGTAGATGTATTTTTTTTAAATAAAAAAGAATGAGAACTTCGATAATTATGAAAATTGGAAAAAGGTGTATTGTTTTAGAACAAATTTGAAAGAAGAAATTGGGTTCCCCTTATGTTTGGTTTTTGAAAGAATTTGAAATAATTCGGGAGGCCTGGTGTTTTATTCTTGAAAAATTTGGAAGAATCTATTGTGTCGTGTTTTTTAATGAATTTGAAAGAACTTCCAAGAACCCTGGTGTCTTGCTTTTGAGAGAATTTGAAAAAGAATCTCGAAAACCTTTTGTGTGTTATTTTTGCAAAATCTGAAAGAATCTCGGGTATCCCTGGAGTCTTATTTTGAAAAGAATATGTAGGATTCTTGGATCCTCTTGTCTTTTACTTATTTATTTAAGAATTTAAAAGATATCCAGGGTTCCTATTATTTTGAAGAGTTTGAAAGAATTTCAGGTACTTACACTTGAAGTTTTGTTTTTGAAAGAATTTGAAGGAATCCAGAGGATGTCTGGTATCTTGTTTTTAAGACAATTCGAAAAAATCTCGGAAGCCTTTGTTTTATTTTTGAAAAAATTTGAATGTTGGGTAGCATTTTTGAAAGAATTTGAAAGAATTGGAGGATTTCTAGTATATTGTTTTGAAGAGAATTTGAAAGAATGTCGGAGGTGTCTGGTGTTTTATTTTTCAAAGAATTTGAAAGAACTGTAGGGATCCCTGGTGTCTTAATTTTGAAAGCATTTGAAGGAATTTCGAGAATTCCTGGAGTTTTATTTTTGAAGGAATTTGATAGAATTTTAGGGGCCATTACTATTTTATTTGTTAAAGGATTTCAAGCCATTTCAAGGATCCCTGGTGTCTTATTTTTGAAAGCATTTGAAGGAATTTCAAGGGTCTTGGTGTTTTATTTTTGAAATAGTTTGAAAGAACCTCAGGGGCCACTACTATTTTATTTTTTGAAGAGTTTGAAAGAATTTCCGGTGTTCCTTGTTTTTTGATTTTGAGAAAATTTGAAAGAATCTTGATAACCTTTGTGTCTCATTTTTTACAAAATCTGGAAGAATCTCGAATGCCCCTGGAGCCTTATTTTGGAAAGAATTTGTAGGAATCTCCGGTCCCCTTGTGTTTTATTTATTTATTTAAGAATTTGAAAGATCTCCAGGGTCCCTGGTGCTTGTTTGTAACTTATTATTTTCAAGAATTTGAAAGAATCTCAGGTAAGTACACTTGTCTTGTTTGTGAAAGAACTTGAAGGAAATCAGAGGATTTCTGGCACCTTGTTTTAAACAAAATTTAAAAGAATCTCGAGGATCAATGGTGTTTTGTTTCTGAAAGAATCTCGAGGACTCTTGGTGTTTTAGTTTTGAAAATTTTGAAAAAATCTCTAGTGTCATATTTTTTAATGAATTTGAAAGAATCTCGAAGAATCCTAGTGTCTTGGTTTTAAAAGAATCTTGTGGGATTGTTGCGTATTATTTGGAAAGAATTTGAAAGAATCTTAGGAACTCATGGTGTCCTGTTTTTGAGAGAATTTGAAAGTATTTCAGGTAACTTTGGAGTGTTGTTTTTGAAAGAATTTGAAGAAATACAGAGGACTCTTGGTATCCGGTTTTTAAGACAGTTTTAAAAAAATCTCTTGATGTGATTTGACCCTTTGTTCTATTTTTGAAAACATTTGAATGTTGAAAGAATTTCAAAGTAATTCAAGGATCCCTGGTGTTTTATTTTTGAAAGCATTTGAAGGAATCTTGGTGTTTTATTTTGGAAATAATTTGAAAGAACCTTACGGGCCCCTAGTATTTTATTTTTTGAAGAATTTGAAGGAATTTCCGGGGTTCCTTGTGTTTTGTTTTTGAGAGAAGTTGAGGATCCCCGTAGTTATTTAAAAAAAAATCTCGAGGGCCTCTTTTGTCCTGTTTATTTTTGAAAAATTTTGAAAGAATCTCTGCTACCCTTGGTGTTGTTTTTTAAAGAATCTCTGTGTTTTTGTGTCTCTATTATTTTTCAAAAATTTCGAATGAATCTCGCGTGCTACCGGAGATTGAAGAAATCTCAAGGACCTTCGTGTTTTATTTTTGGAAAAATTTGAAAGAATCTCTGGAACTCAAGGTGTTGTTTATCGTCTCGAGGATATTTTGTGTCTCAAGTGTCTCTTGTGACTCTGGGGAGTTTCATTTTTGAAAGGATTTGAAGGAATCTCGGGGACTCCAGGTGTCGTGTTTAAAAAAAAAATCGAAAAAATGTCAAAGATCCTCGGTGTCTTGTGTTTGAAAAAATCTCGAACACACTTTGTAGCTTATTTTTGGAAGAATTTAGAAAACCCTTGAAGTCCTATTTTTGAAAGAAATTGAAGGAATTTTGGGGACTCCTGGTATCTTCTTTTTGAGAAAAAATAAAAGAATCTCGGTGATCCCTAATATCTTGTTTTTGTGAAAAAATCTTGAGAATCCTTTCTGTCTTATTTTTGAAAGAATTGGAAAAAAACTCGAAGGCCTTTTGTACTTTATTTTTTAAAAGATTTGAAAGAATCTAGGTTACCCCTAAAGTCTTATTTTTGAAAGGAATTGAAGGAATTTGGGGACTCCTATTGGCTTGTTTTTGACAGAAAATGAAAGAATCTCGAGGATCCCAAGTATTTTGTTTTTTTGAAAGTATATCAGGGACCCTTTGTGTCTTATTTTTGTACTTTGAAAGAATTTCAGGAACCTCTTGTGTCTTAGTTTTTGCAAAATTTGAAAGAATCTCGAGGATTTTTTGCCTTATTTTTGAAAACATTTGAAAGAATCTCAGCTACCCCTAGAGTCTCATTTTGTGAAAAATTTGAAGAACTCTCAGGGACTTTTGGTGTCTTTTTTAAAGAATTTCAAAAAAAAATAGGTAACTCTGGATTAAAAGAATTTGAATGAATCTCCAGGAATCCTGGATTCTTATTCCTGAAAGAATTTGAAAGAATGTCTGGGATTCCTGGTGTTTAATTTTAGAGAGATTTTGAAAGAATCTAGAAGATACTTGGTGTTGTGTTTTTGAGAGATTCTCGAGGACCATTTCTGCTGATTAAAAAAAGAAAAATTGCAAGAAACTCAAGAGCCTTTTGTGTTTTATTATTGCAAAAGCTTGAAGGAATCTCGGGTACTACTGGAGTCTTATTTTTGAAAAGACTTGAAAGAATCTCGGGGAGTTCTGATGTCTTGTTTTAAGATAATTTAAAAGAATCTCAGGTGCCTCCGATGTTTTTAAAGAACTTAAAAGAATCTCAAGATCCTTGGTGTCTTGGTTTTGAAAGAATCTCGACGACTATTTGTGTTTTATTTTTGAAAAAATTTAAAAGAATCTCGGGTACCCCTGAAATCTTATTTTTTAAAGGAATTTCCGGAACTCTCTCGAGGGTTTCTGGTGTCTTGTTTTTGTGAAAGAATCTTGAGGAGCCTTTGCCTCCTATTTTTGAAAAAATTGAAAAGAAATTTGATGGTTTCTTGAGTTTTATTTTTTAAGATCTCCGGTACTACCGCAGTATTATTTTTGAAAGAATTTGAAGGAATCTCAAGGATTTCTGATGTTTTCTTTTTCTTCTTTTTGACAGAATTTGAAGGAATCTTGGAGATTCTTTTTGTGTTATTTTTGAAAAAAAATGAAAGAATTTCGGACACTACTAGAATCTCATTTTTGAAATAGTTTGAACGAATCTCAAGGACTCCTGGTGTCTTGTTATTAAAAGAATTTGAAAGAATCTCGAATGCCTCTGATCTCTAGTTTTTTTTAAGAATTTGAAAGAATCTCAAAGATCCTTGGTATCTTGTTTTTTGAAAAGCCGCAAGAACCATTTGTGTCTAATTTTTGAAAAAATTTGAAAGAATCTGAGGTATCCCTGCAGCCTTATTTTTGAAAAGATTTGAAGGAATCTCAAGGACTCCTGTTGCCCTTTTTTTGACAGAATTTGAAAGAATCTCGGATGCCTTCAGTGTGTTTTTTGTTTTTAAATTTGAAAGAATTTCAAGGATCCTTGGTGTCTTGTTTTGAGAAAATCTGGAGGACTCTTTGTGTCTTATTTTTGAAAAAAATTTAAAGGAATCTCAACAACCTTTTTTGCCTTATTTTTGAATAAATTGGAAAGAATCTCAAGGGCGTCTTGTGTTTTATTTTTGAAAACATTTAAAAGAATCTTGAAGGACTCTTGTTATTACCAAAAAAAATTGAAAGAATTTAGGGTACTCCTGGAGTCTTATTTTTGAAATGGTTTGAAGGAATCTCGAGGACTCCTGGTGTCTTGTTTTAGAGAGATTTAAATGGAATTTCGGGGACTCCTTGTGTTTTTAAAAGAAGTTGAAAGAAGTTGAAAATGTCTCTGATTTCTGGTGTTTTTTTAAGAATTTGAAAGAATCTCAAAGATCCTTGGTATCTTGTTCTTGAAAAGCCTTGTGTTTGATTTTTGAAAGGATTTGAAGGAGCATCAGGGACTCCCGGTGTCTTCTTTTTGACAGAATTTGAAGGAATTAAAGAATTTTGGGTACTACTAAGTCTAATTTTTTAAATTGTTTGAAGAAATTTCGAGGCTTTCTGGTATCTTGTTTTTGAAAGAATTTGATGGAATTTTTGGTACTCCTTGTGTTTTATTTTTAAAAGAATTTGAAAGAATCTTGAATGCCTCTGAACTCTGGTGTTTTTTTTAAGAATTTGGAAGAATCACGAATGTCACTGACCTCTGTGTTTTTTGATCTCAAAGATCCTTGGAGTTTTGTTTTTGAAAGAGCCTCAAGAACCTTTTGTGTTTGTTTTTTGAAAAGATTTGAAAGAATCTGGGGTATCCTTGCAGTCTTATTTTTTAAAGAAATTGAAGGAATTTCTGGGACTCCTGGTGTCTTCTTTTTGAGACAATTTGAAATAGTCTCTGAGGCCTCTGGTGTCTAATTTTTGAAAAAATTTAAGAGAATCTTTAGTACCCTTGGAATCTTGTTTTTGAAAGTATTTGAAGGAATCTTGAGGACTCCTAGTATCCTGTTTTTAAAAGAATTTGAAAGAGTAGCAAGGACTTCTATGGATCTATAGATGTGGAAGATTTTCAAAATGTTGCCCGTGGAGTTTTTTTAAAATTTATAGCATATGTATTTTTGACAGATGTAGTCTTATCGAAAAAGACTGTTTGAAATCGTCATTGCAATGTTCTTTGTCTGTTACACATAATCTTTGTAAAAATGTTAAATTTGACTTAAAAATACCTTCGTTGTTGATGACAAATTCGCTAGCTGTTGGTTCCAACTTCCTATACGGAACAGTAGGAATTTCTTGATCATCAGGAAATACTTCGTCTTTTACTTCCTCTGTCCCTTCCCCTTCGGCCCCTTCCTCGACTGTTGGGGGGGGCGGTCGGATCCTATTTTTGTATTTATAAAGCATTTTCTCCCTCCATTCTCTTCTCACCGCATCGTGCAAATCTAAAAACACGTTTAAGACTCAATTTAACGCAAAAGTTTTATTTTACCCATATCATAATGTTCTGGAATTGGAGGCTTGTCATACGTTTCACTGAGATCACTTAGATGGTCGTACTTGACATACAGTGCTCTAACTGCCATCTTTTCCCCGTCAATAGATGGGGGATACTGAACCTCCATTTTCATTTCGGGAAACTGGACTTCAATACGCGGCCTACAAGCAGAAAATGTACATATGTATAGGCAAATGGCTGCTGGAGGGAGGGTACTTGGGTGGTCGCCTCGGGTTCGGAAGAGGAGTGGGGAGTTGAATCCGCAGCCACAAACAAAGAGCGATATTGTCATCCTGATACTTATAATCGGCAGTGGGAATGTCAATTCTGTGTAGATTCTTCTCGATGTTTCTCAACAATCGGTAAGTGGCGACATCTAGACTTTTGGCTTGTTGTACTCGAAATAGTAACCTAACCTTTAATTCAAAAACTAGACAATCAAAATGCGCAAAATTAAAACTAGTACCCATTTCCAGTTCTCGACCTTGTCGCTATCGTTCGCCTTCGCCGTATCAATCAAGTCATCCAATTCTTCCAAAAGCTCTAGCACGTCCTCCGTTTTTCGCGCCGCCTCCTCCATGGACGTCTCCTGAATCGCGTTCTCCCATAGGTGCAAGAAAGTGTTCATCTGGTCGCACTTGCTGGGATTGGGTAACCGCCCACAGTTCACATAGAACTCCCAATCCGCTTGTATCTTCGCGGCCTCCCGCATATTGTTGACGTAGGCCACCAGGTCCTCGAACTGCTCGAACGCGCTCTCCAGCTGCTCCATTCGCAGTTGCTGCTCGAACCCCTCCTTTTTCTGCTTCTCAATCGCCGCTTTGCGCTCCTCCGCCAATCGGATGCGCTCGAGTTCGGCGGCCTTCGCCGCCGCCTCCTCAGCGCTGATTTTGGCCTTCTCGGCTTGTTCCGCCGCCAGTCGGAGCTTCTCCTTCTTCGACAGCTTTTTTTTCGGACCCTGAAATGTCACAATTCAGAAATTAAAAGCGGGCAAGTCACCTCGGGTTCCACTATCTTCTTCTTCTTCTTTTTTTTCTTCTTCTGTTTGATGGAGGCAGCTTTGATGCTTTCGGCAGTTTCTGCAAGATCTGCAAGAGAGAGTTAATTGTGGGAAAGGTTACAATGGTGTGGTGACCTTGTCCGCTAGCCGCTAGGGTGGCTAAGTATTTCATTCGGTTTATTTCTGCCAAGACGTCGTCTTCTGGTTCTGGTTCTTTTTCCTCTTTTTCTTTTCCTTTTTTTCCTTTTCCTTTCTTCTTTTCCTTCTTGGGTTCACCTTCTTCGCCTTCCGCTTCAGCGGGTTCTTTTTTCTTTTGTCCTTTCTTACCTTTTTTGCCTTTACCCTTTTTTGTTTTGACCGCTCCGGTCGAGCTGATCCTTTTGTCGACTGCAGATGTTTCAGATTCCTCTGAGGACTCAGTACTACTTGACTCAGCGAGCGTCCACGTTGACTAATAAAAATCTAATTAAGAACGAGTTAATCAGCTACAGATAATTTACTGATTGTCTTCCCATCGAGGACATCCTTCTGAGTTCATCCATTTCTGCAGCATGCATAGACAACCGACTCATCAACTGGTCCAAGTTTGATTGAGATCTCTTGAGTTTCTTTATAATGCTATCTGATTTAGATACTCCCTTTTTTAACTTAATCGACGATTCTTTTTTAAGTGTTTTGATTTTTACTTCCTTCTCAGCGCCTTCCTTTACCGTTTCTCCTTTCTTTTGTTTTCCTTTCTTCTTTTTTTGCTTTCCCGCAATACCTTGATCACTTTCTGCTACTTTTCCTACGTCTTCGGTTGAAGAAGACGTCTTTTTCACTTTCTTTTCTTTCTTCTTCTTACCTTTTTTCTTTATTCCCGTTTTCAATCCCTCAACGCCTATCTTCATTTCTGATATAGTAACACTTTTCTTGCTCTCTCTTTTCGCCAGCTCTTCTTTCAAATCTTCACTTTTCGTCACTTCGACAGACTTAGAAGGAACTGTTTTTACTGCAGAAGATGAACCAACGATATCTACGGATTTAGAAAAAGCAAGTTTTACCGCAGAAGACGAAGCATCTTTGTCTATTGATTTAGAAGAAACAGACTTTGCCTTGAGAAAACTGCCAGACGCGTCTTCGAGAGTTTTTTCTTGAGACGGTAGTGGGCCTTCTTCTTTTTCAGCCTCTGCCGATTTCTTCTTTTTGTCCTTCTTTTTATCTTTCTCGCCAGGCTCAGAAGCGGGTTCCTTCTTCCCTTTATCTTTCTTTTTGCTTGCTTTATCGCCTTTTTTATCCTCTTTTGTCTCCATTTCCTTTTTGTCTGCTTCTTCTGCATCATTTGCATTCTCTTCACCAGCTCCACCCGCTTCTGGTTGAATTTCCTCGCTTGCTTTATCTTTCTTCTTGCTTGCTTTTTCTTCTTTTTTATCCCCTTTCTTCTTTTTTCCCTTTTTGTCTGGCTTGGGTGCGTCGTCCGGAACGGGTTTCACAGTTTCGGCTGCTTCTGGTTGGATTTCCTCTGTGTCTTTTTCCTCTTTTGCTTCTTCTTTTTTGACTTGGGTTTCACTGGCTTCGAGCGTTAACCTAGAACCAGACCGAGATCCTTTTTTTTTCTTACGGACTGATTTCTCCTCTTCTGTAGCTGGTCCTTCTGGAGGCTGTTCTTTTGGTTCTTCGGTTCCTTTGTTCGGCTCTTCTTTAGATTCTGGATTTTCATCTTTCCCAGGCGACTCATTACCCTCCTCAACCATGCTTAAGTTTTTTGTACAAGAATTTACGAAACAAAATGACCAACAATTTTGCTGTCAAATTTTAGCTGTCAAAGCATTTCGTGAAAGTAGTGTTTCTATGGTTGTTATGTAGAACAGGTGAGTAGTTTCAAAGAAGAAAGTTGAAGACCGTAGATTTAAAAGAGTACACAATAAACAACAAAAGAAGGGGTTTTAGAAGGACTATATCGAGGAATGAGAAAAAATGGAGGAATTTTGATTTCATTACCAGTTCAAGGTGAAGAAAGCCAATGTTACGTGAATTTTAAAAAAGATTTTTACTGCAGAAGCTAGGTAATCATCTAAGACCAAAACTGTAGCGCTTCCTACAAGATGTAACTACTGAAGATTGAGTCTAGAAGATTTGGGACGATACTTAAGGAAGAATAAGACACGATACAATTCTAGAAGAAGTAAATCCATATGACAATGGGTTTAAAATACTGGAGAAGAATCAACAGAAGAAGGGTTTCTAGAAGGATCAAACTTGGGAAGACGAAGAAATACAGGAATTTTGATGTCATTAAGGGTGCAGAAAGTAAATGCTCACGTGAATTAAAAAATGTTATAAAAAACATTCGGAAATGGGAAAGAACACAGAAATTTCAACTTAACGCGAAATTAGAACTGAAGAAGGAAGTTAGATGATTTGTATTCGAGAAGCTTTTGGAAGAGCAAGACTCTTAAATAAGAAGAACCAAAAGATCTTTACTACCTGAACAAGAAAATCATCTAAGATTAAAACAGTAGTGCCTCATACAAGATTTAACTATTGAAGATTAAGTCTAGACGATTTGCGACGACGCTTAAGGAAGAATAAGACAAGACACAATTTTAGAAGAAGTAAATCCGTATGACCGTGGGTTTAAAATACTGGAGAAGAATCAACAGAACAAGGGTTTCTAGAAGGACCAAACTTGAGAAGATGACGAAATACAGGAATTTTGATATCATTAAGGGCGAAGAAAGTAAATGCTCACGTGAATTAAAAAATGTTGTAAAAAACATTCGGAAATGGGAAAGAACACAGAAATTTTAACTTAACACCAAATTAGAAATGAAGAAAGAAGTTAGATGATTTGTATTCGAGAAGCTTTTGGAAGAGCAATACTTTTAAATAAGAAGAACCAAAAGATCTTTACTACCTGAACAAGAAAATCATCTAAGATTAAAACAGTAGCGCTTCATACAAGATTTAACTATTGAAGATTTTAAGTCTAGACGATTTGCGACGACGCTTAAGGAAGAATAAGACAAGACACAATTTTAGAAGAAGTAAATCCGTATGACCGTGGGTTTAAAATACTGAAGAAGAATCAACAGAAGAAGGGTTTCTAGAAGGATCAAACTTGGGAAAATGAAAAAATACAAGAATTTTGATATCACTAAGGTTGAAGAAAGTAAATGCTCACGTGAATTAAAAAATGTTGTAAAAAACATTCGGAAATGGGAAAGAACACAGAAATTTCAACTTAACACGAAATTAGAAATGAAGAAAGAAGTTAGATGATTTGTTTTCGAGAAGCTTTTGGAAGAGCAATACTTTTAAATAAGAAGAACCAAAAGATCTTTACTATCTGAACAAGAAAATCATCTGAGATTAAAACAGTAGTGCTTCATATAAAATTTAATTATTGAAGATTAAGTCTAGACGATTTGTAACGACGCTTTAGGAAGAATAAGATAAGACAAGTGCTTCATATAAGATTTAACTATTGAAGATTAAGTCTAGACGATTTGTAACGACCTTTAGGAAGAATAAGATAAGACACAATTTTCGAAGAAGTAAATCCGTATGACCGTGGGTTTAAAATACTGGAGAAGAATCAACAGAAGAAGGGTTTCTAGAAATACCAAACTTGAGAAGACGACGAAATACAGGAATTTTGATATCATTAAGGGTGAAGAAAGTAAATGCTCACGTGAATTAAAAAATATTGCAAAAAACATTCGGAAATGGGAAAGAACACAGAAATTTCAACTTAACACGAAATTAGAAATGAAGAAAGAAGTTAGATGATTTGTATTCGAGAAGCTTTTGGAAGAGCAACACTCTTAAATAAGAAGAACCAAAAGATCTTTACTACCTGAACGAGAAAATCATATAAGATTAAAACAGTATTGCCTCAACCAAGATTTAATTATTGAAGATTAAGTCTAGACGATTTGCGACGACGCTTAAGGAAGAATAAGACAAGACACAATTTTAGAAGAAGTAAATCCGTATGACCGTGGGTTTAAAATACTGGAGAAGAATGAACAGAAGAAGGGTTTCTAGAAGGATCAAACTTGGGAAGACGAAGAAATACAGGAATTTTGATATCATTAAAGTTGAAGAAAGTAAATGCTCACGTGAATTAAAAAATGTTGTAAAAACATTCGGAAATAGGAAAGAACACAGAAATTTCAACTTAACGCGAAATTAGAACTGAAAAAGGAAGTTAGATGATTTGTATTCCAGAAGCTTTTGGAAGAGCAATACTCTTAAATAAGAAGAACCAAAAGATTTTTACTGCTTGGGAAAACTGAAGTTCAACAAGGATTATACTTGGGAACGAGAGGAAACAGAGAAATTTTGATTTGATTGCTGGATCAAGGTTGAAGAAAGCAAATGCTCACGTGGATTCAACAATGTTCTAAGAAATGGATTTGGAAATGGGAAAAACCAGACCTTCAACGCGAAATTTTAACTGAAGAAAGACCAAAGATTTTTATTGTTTGGGCAAACACCGGAAGTTAAGAATGAAATTAAACAGTCAAATTTCATTACGATTTTAGAATACTCCCGTTGGGTTAGACAAAAATGAAGTGTCAGTAGACATTAAATCTAACGGGAAAAATTTTACAAAAATTCAAGCAAAAAATTATATCTAACGGGAAAATTTTTACATAAATTCAAGCAAAAAATATGAACGTATTTAAAGTTCGCGACAGCGAAAATGTATTTCATGTTATACAACAAGTACAAAGCCACTTGAACTTAACGCCTCATTATGTACGACTTGACGAACAATAATGACAATATAATTAACATATCCGCTCCTAATAAGTGCCCTTTCTTAAGTCCGTTGCCATATCCTCATTGTATGAAAATGACCACTCCAATATATTCAAACCACATCAGTCACACACAGCAACTCAAACACCGTCTACCTGAACCACCAACAACTCCACGATGACCGACCTGCCGTCGATCCCCGAATTCTACCGCAACAAAACCGTCTTCATAACCGGCGGAAGCGGTTTCATTGGAAAAGTCCTCATCGAAAAGCTGCTTCGCTCGTGTCCGGACCTAAAGACCATCTACTTGCTCATGCGAGAAAAAAAGGGCCGATCTCCTGAAGAAAGAATCAAAACCTTCACCGATCTACCGGTAAGTGTTTGCCTTGTGCACTTCTTCGTCTAACGTTTGTCTAGCTTTTCGACGTGCTCAAGTCGCAAAACCCGGACTCTATAGCCAAAATCAAGAGCGTCGTTGGGGATGTTCGCGAGTTGGGTTTAGGGTTGAGTCTTCAAGAACAGCAACTATTGATTGATGAAGTCAATGTTATCTTCCATATTGCTGCGTCTGTGCGCTTCGACGACAGTTTAACGGATGCTGTGATTATGAACACGAGGGGAACTAGGGAGGTTGTAAAATTAGCGCTGGAAATGAAGAACTTGGATGTTTTGCTTCATACGTCGACGACGTATTGTAATACTAATCATCAGGTGGTTGAGGAGAAGTTGTATCCGGCGCATGCTGACTGGGAGAAGACTATTGAGATAGCTGAGAGTATGGATAAACATGTCATGAATGTGTTGACTCAGAAGTATATAGATCCTCTGCCAAACACCTATACTTTTACTAAGTCTCTAGCTGAGCACGTTGTGCATGATATGTCCAGTGGGAAAATTCCGACTGTTATCTACAGACCGTCTATTGGTGAGTAGAGTTTGCATTTTTGGTCTTTATTGTGGAGTATTGATAAAATTGGGGGAACCGGTTATGGGGTCACTAATGAGGATATAAATACGTGTAGTTCAAAGGTTGTACTGGGTTTTATGTAAATCATATTTTATGCATTGTCTTCGTCTTTTAATATTCAGTGCTAATGTCGACAGGCAATTCTAAGTTTACTCATTGTAAAAGTTCTTTATGACATTTCTTAAAAAAATTTATTTCATTTTTTATGAATTTAATTCACGGATTGAAAAGAGTTTGGACTGACTAATAAGTTTAAATCGGTGTCTTAGAATTTATTTGAGTACTTCTGATTTCAAATATCATTTTTATAGGGATAAGCAGATATGACATTTTTACCAATATCGTGGATAGTAATTTGGGCTTAAAATACGTCAGGCATCGATACTTAGTGGTTTTTTATCAAGACTAAAATCGCGAATGTTCCACTTTCGACATTACTTCCAGTAGATTACCTTAAATGAAGCTGTGTCTATATTTTAAAATGACTTGTTTACGCCTCGTTTAACTTAAGGTTCCGCCTCATAATTGCAAAATCCATATTTTCTATGCTTTCTGTTTCTTGTTGTGAAAAGATGGCTATGATATTAAGGAAAAAAGGCAAAATATAAGCCCCGCCCACCCACCCTATCTCAGTTCTGATGATTTTTTTTATTAATCTTATTTTTTTACTAGAAATTACCATGTGAAATATGTTCTTAAATAATCGTGTTATACAAAGAAAATTTCATGTATTAATTAAAAAAGAAAACCAAAAGAGAAGCCCCGCCCATCCATCCCGATCTCAGTTGCGATGAATCTTTCATTCGTTATTAGATCGATTGGCAAAATTGATATTTCCATATACAAATTTACCATTTTAGACATGTTTTAAGTTTCTTGTTGTCGAAATAAGTCTACACGTATTAAGAAAAAAAGGCATAATGTAGCCCCGCCCACCCGCCCTATCTCAATTGTGATGATCATGTTTTTGAGTGTCGTGTTGTTCAAAGAATACTATGTATATTAAGAAAAACTTAAAGCCAAATATTAAGCCCCACCCATAACTGCCCCGATCTAAATAGTGATGAAGTTTTCATTCGTTGGCAGACCTAGAGGCGGAGCCTAATTGCAAAATCCATATTTCCCTACAAAAAGTTACCATTTTAAACATGTTTTAAGTTTGTAAGAATAAAAAAATCGCCACAGATGAGACGGGGTGGGTGGGTGGGCGGGGTTTATATTTTGCCTTTTTTTAATATATTTAGTATTCTTTGAACAACACGATACTCAAAAACATGTTTTTAATTTCTTGTAAAGAAATAAGAATTTTGCAGATAAGCTCCGCCCCCTTGGTTTACGACGAATAAAAAAAATCATCACAATTGAGATAGGGCGGGTGGGCGGGCCTACATTATGCATTTTTCTTTTAATATTTGTAGACTTCTTTTCACAACGTGAAACTTAAAACATGTTTAAAATGGAAAATTTGTATAAGGAAATATCGATTTTGCAATTAGGCTCCGCCTCATAATTGCGAAATCCATATTTCCTTGCAAAAATGTACTACTTATTTGGACCATGTTTTAAGTTTCTTCTTGTGAAAAGATGGCTATGATATTAAGAAAAAAGCCAAAATAGAAGCCCCGCCCACCCACTCTATCTCAATTCTGATGAATTTTTTTTATTCATCGTAAGCCGAAGGGTGGAGCTTAATTGTAAAATCGATATTTCTCTATACAAATTTGCCATTTTAAGACCCGATTTATAGAAAGCGAAGTTAAAGTTAATTCGCGATTAACTTTTAATTGAGGTCCGTTGCGAGGCAACGCGCATATTTTAACCAATCATGGGCTCATATTCCACATTTTAATTCTCTGTTAAACTAATCGAGGATTAAATATTTAACTCGCTGTTCTATAAACCGGCCCTAAATGTTTTAAGTTTCCGGTTGTGAAATGATGACTACACATAATTAAGACAAAAAGGCAAAATATAAGCCCCGCCCACCCACCCTATCTCAATTCTGATGATTTTTTTTTATTCGTCGTAAACCGCGGGGTGGAGCTTAATTGTAAAATCCTTATTTTTCTACGAGAAATTACCTTATCAAATATGTTTTCAAGTAATCGTGTTATACAAAGAAAACGAATGTACTAATTAAAAAAAGAAAACCAAAAGGGAAGCCCCACCCATCCGTCTCGATCTCAATCGTGATGAATTTTCATATTTCCCTAAACAATCTTTTATTTACATCGACTTTAACATTACAGACGTGCATTTGTTTTATGCGCTGATTAGGTTCCGCGAATGTGGAATAGACATGTTTATAATCAACCAATTGTGAATTCCACCGTCAAAAATTAAAATAAAACGCAATGTTTTATATAATAAGAGGAAGTCGAAGCAATAAAAATTTCTAGATGACCATCTGTTTTGTTTACAGTTTCTCTGTTTTGACTCTCACGTATGCTGTTACGCTTGTCATCTTAAATTAAGAATGTTTATACATAAACGATTTTCAGTTGCCTCTCATATTACACACCGGCGCCGTATACCTGAGTAAATTGTTTCGTTATTTTATTGATTATAACAAATCAATATTCAAAACGACCCAATTCATTTTCCCGAAAATTTGTGAACACAATAATTTTATTCTTAGTATTACACTACATCTATCCCAACTGATATACGTGTCCTTGCAAAAATGTTGATGACGTCATCGCAATTTTTTTTTAAATTCCCACTACAAAAATGTAATGAGAAAAAAAAACACAATAGGCATGCAGTCGTCAAGTTTCCGACAGCGAGGGAAGTACTGTCTAAACTCTTTAGACCAATTTTTAATTAAAAAGTAGTGTCAACAGACTCTGTAATTTTTGGTCACGTGGTAGATTAGTCTCAAGGAAGCGTCACCTTCTTATTAAAATAAAAATATAGTGACAGATTCTAAAAACTACTTGCAATTGTACACCTTGTATAATTTTTTTAAAAAGAAACGGTAAAAGAAGACACACCTGAATTGTACCGGGTGACTATTAATGACTGAAGCAAATTTTTGGGTTGGCAATTCTGAATTATTAGCAGCACTGTTAACATGTCAGTTGTCAATTTTGACATGAGCGCACCTAAAAACGAATGACGAGATGGCAACTATTAAATTGGTGCCCAAAATTTCAATTTGACATTAGGTATACCATCATCAAAGTTTAAATATGTTGCCAAGCTGACAAAAAAACACGAACATTAATAGTTACTTGGCATAAATTTCCATAAAAGGATTGCAAAGATAATTAAAAAAAAGTTCAATCTGTAATCACTTTTAAGTTGAAATCAATGACTTAAATAGTAAATACTTGAAATTCAATGATCAAATTATATGTTATTCCAAAGTAAAAAATTCATCTTCGAAAACACGATTGGCAACGTTGTTAGAGTCATTTATTCTAGTGTGAAGTAATTTCATTTTCTTTGACAGTTTCTTTTCATTTTTAAACTTCAAATTGACAATCCGTGACAACTTTGTAGTACCAATCTTAGAATAATTAAACTATACAGGGTGTCTCAGAAATAAGTACATTAATTTTAACCAGTAACAGAACTCGTGAAACGGAACAACTTTTTTATCTAGCATTTTTTCGAAAACTCAAGTCGAATTTCGAATTTTCCCACCCATATATTCACGAGCCGTCTATGTTCACCTTAAATAATAACTTAAATAAAAGCAACACTACAACAATGAAGAAGGTACCGTAGCAACCGTTTTGACACTGACAATCATTTTTATGTCAATGTTTTTATTAAACGTTATGTCTCTTTAAAGTTTGTTTGGCACAGATTTCTAATTTATAGACGAAATGTGTTGAAATGGCTTTGTTTTCAAATCTGGAATGCACCGATATCGTTTTAACGTACGGTGAAGCTGCGGGAAACGGCACTCGCGCCCAACGAATTTTTTCAGAAAACCTCCCAAATCGTCTGCCAAATGTGCGCAGTTTTAAGAACGTTGCAGTATTTTCGAGAGTACGGATCTTTTAAACCGACACCTCAGAATCGGGGTAAGTTACGTACTAATAGAATTACTAATATTGAAGAGGCTGTTTTGAAGAGTGTCGAAGCTCGACGGGCACTAGCACGTATCACCGCCTAGTGTGATGTATCGGAGGGTAGTATTTGGAGGATACTCAGAGAACAAATGTACCCCGTTCAGGACCAGAAAGTTCAGTTATTGAAACTAACAGACTTACCACGTAGGCAAAACTTTTGTGAGTGGGTTAATAGAAAAATAAACGAACAAGCAAATTTTGTATCTCTTATACCATCAACTGATGAGGTCGGTTACACGAGGGAAGGTGTTCAACACCCACATTTGGGCCGATGAAATTCCGTACGCCATTAGGGAGCAGGATTTTCAATGTCTCTCTAAATGTTTGTCACATTGACAAGATTAGGAAAATACGTATCCTAGTAACTGTTTTTGACCATAAATTATTAATTATAATGATCTGACTGAGGATCCATGGGCGGGTAACCTTGATTGGGGTATAACTTTAACAATTTTTAACTTGATAATTAAAAAGTTCTTGACAAAATTCTACTAAAAAAAGTTGTTGAGTTCAATGAGCTCTATAACTGATTAAAATTAATGTACTTATTTCTGAGACACCCTGTATAATCACCCCTATGAGTTTTTTGTGGTTGACAGTGACATTTATTTTAAATTAAAATAACTCAGTCTTTTTTGATCACGTCGATCAAATGTCCACCAAAAAGACCTAAAGTAAGTATTTTTTATTTATAGTACCTACTTCAACACCAAAAACTTTCGCTGTGTGTTAGTTCTAACGTCACCTTCACACTGTAGTACAGTTAACATGTTAAGAGAGCGGCTCATTCTAGCTTCGAAATAATCGACAACAATTTTAATTTTAAAAATTATAATTTTATTTCAGTGGTTTCTACAGCCTTTGAACCTATGCAAGGCTGGATCGACAATTTCAACGGCCCCATAGGTCTCCTTGCAGCCTGCGGCAAAGGAATAGTTCGAACAGTGTACAGTGACCCTTCCATCACATCCGACTACGTCCCTGTCGATTTAACAATCAAAGCCATGATCATATCCTCATGGAAACAAGCAACATATAAGTATACCTGATTTAATTCAATACGCTGACGTTTGTAAATGTGACAACGCTGCACTACACACAAACTTCAGTTTATAAAACCACAAAACCCAAATTTCACTCACCATGATTCTTTCCAGAGACCCAACCCAACGTCTCACACCATCTTTCTACAACGGTAGCAACTGCAACGTCCAGAACGTCACTCTAGCCCAAGTGGTTGATCTAGGCAGGGAAATATGCGATGAAGTCCCTGTTAGTCAAGCCTTATGGTACCCCAACACCTCAGTGACCAAGTGCTACTACAACTTTATCTTCAAAGTAATAGTCTTCCATTTCCTGCCGGCTGTATTGATCGATGGCTTGCTCAAACTGGCTGGAAAAAAACCCATGTGAGTAGGTATTTCCACGGTGGGGGATTTGTTTGATCGATGGTTTCTAGGCTGACGAAAATCCAGAGGCGGATTTTCCTTGCCAATATGGCCATTTCGTACTTTTCTTTGCACGAGTGGAAGTTCGTTAACGACAAGTGTTTAAATCTGAAGAACGAATTGGTCCCGGGCGACGTTGCCGATTTTTCCTATAGAGAAGACGAAATTGGCGTTTATGATTTTTTTAGAAACGGGGCTATAGGGGCTAAAAAGTATCTTTTGAAGGAGAATTCAGATCTGGAGAAGGACAGGCAACACTTGAGGAAGATGTTGATTGTGGCGTATATTGCTAGTTTCTTGTGGTATTCTGCCTTGGTGTGGCTTGTATTTTTCAAATTAGATATTGTTTCTTTTTTGGTTAACAAATACAACGATGTGATTTTGTACTTTACGACGGATTGAACTAATTGAACTATAGCTGTTATTTTTGGTATTGTCGATATTTGGTTTGTTTGGTATATAATATTAGGTTTTTTCACGTTTATAATATAAATAAATAAGTTTTACTAAATATTGAAATATATTTTTGAAATGTTGTTAAGTTGTTTTCTCACTGACATTGAAAATTCATAAAATTGATATTGATTGTAACGTGTTCTTTTCAAAATTTCGCTGTAGAAAAACATATTTTTTGCAATGCCCCCGTTTTAGTATGCAAATGATACGCCACTGGTTTAAGTGACACGTGTTCTCTTAAATCATACGTAGGTTAAGTTATAAGGTCTGTTACAATGTATTACTTAAATAAAAATATCCAGGCTTTAGTTATAACTTGATAAAAAAAAGAGCGAAGCCTAAATAAGTGAATTTACTAACACGTGGTTTACATGAACAAAAATTGTGTTAGAACTTTACAAACAATAAACAAAATTGATACCAGGTGTTGACATGGGCGAAACTTCGCATTTCAGGTTAGAAAAACATTAATAATTAATTGCGTGGGTTCGAATCCCACACCTGACAGGTTTCTTTTTCATCGATTTATAAATTAAATACCAAATAAAACAACTACGTGTAGTCAGGTTGGTCGAGCGGTCAAAGGCGCTCAAGCGCCGACTCTCCAAAGAGAGCGTGGATTAGAATCCCACACCTGACAGAATTTTTCTTGTGCGTTTTGCTTAGACGTATTAAATATATACACTTTGCCATATTTGCCCCTACTAAATTATAATTAATACACAAGGTAATTCAATAAACACTACTCTTGTAAAAAAAATAGATATATAACTAGTTACTAAAATTTATCACTGCAGCTATTTTCCCACTTATATTTTTGATGCAAATTCGACTGACTTTTTTTAATTGTAAATCTGTTTCATCAGTTTTGGTTCCCAAAAACACAAAACACATATTTGCATAGAAAGAGCCCATTATTTAACATATGCAAAGATAGCGAAACAATCGGATCTAACAGGATGTCCAAAATAATGTGACCTTCAAATTCATTCAGTCATTAATTTTTTTTTTAATATTTTACTTCGTGATTTTTCCAGTAAAAAAATCAAACATTAAGAAATTCTACATAGCATAGTTTCACTGCAAAATTAGTAAATCGCCAAAATCTTCCAACTTGAATCGCTACCTGAGTTTCTGCTCAGTTTACTTAAAATTTTATCTTCGCTCTCGTGCTTCCAGTATCGGTCTGGAGAAAATAAGAAAGGCAGCTGAGGCTATAGTTAGTAATCAAATTATCTCGTCAATGTTGCCTTTAATACTCAAATGTTGACAATATTTCCAAATGTTCAAAAATTTATTCCGTTGAAACGGGACTGGTGGCGATCGAAAATATTTTGATTCAGAGCTGGCTTTGACCAGTCTGGCACCACTACTTTAGCTGATAACGTACTTACGTACCATACAGTGTGTAGTCAACTAAAGCAAAAATATTTTCACCAAAACTAGTCTAATTTCAATTGCAACAACTTTGATTTACTTAATGCAAGTCAAATTTTTGTCTTCACCTTTACGTTTGCACTTTTTAAAATTGACGTTCCTTTAGTACACGTATTTGTGACTATATAGAACAAGAACTGTTAAATTCCCTGAAAAGTTCGAAACGATGTACAATGACGTGATTTTGTTGTTTACAAGTGAATAATATTCGTACAGTGATTTTTTGAAAATCACGTTTCGTGTTCATTAATTTCTTAAATTTTAGTTATTGTTATCAAATACTTGAGTTTGTATTTAATTTATTCTACTGTTACAAATTTATAATTTACAACATCTATTTTTAAATTAATTATGTGTTATCATGGATTTGTTGGGTTGTTGGTTTGTTTTGTTATTAGAAGGATTAAGTGTGAATAACTTGCAGTTAGACTAATCCGTCTCACAATATTGTTACGAAATAAACCCATAACCCCCCCGGTGCGACGGCTATGAGTGACTCATCGACGACCGAGCGGCGGGCGCATAAAGACAAGTCTGGAGCCGGTTACCGGAAGTCTCGAAGCGGCGTCCAGGGAAGTCTGGAAGCGGAGTCGAGATGGATGTTCGTGAAAGATCTCGATCGGAGAAGTATGGGTTTAAATAGAGACGACCGTCGGGAATGGATTATTCAGCCAGTGGAGACAGTCAAGAGCGTCCAGTGAAATTCGCCGGAATAAGTTCTGTACATAATCGTAGCAATAGTTAGTATTCGCCCGTCAAACGTAATAATATAATACATCCATATCCATAAATCATTTATTATTTACTTAATTGTTAATTATATTATGTAATTTTAGTGTGTATGTTATGAAATAAAGGCAGTTTATTATTATCAAAAAATTGGTCGAAGATTATTTCGACTGAAGTTCCCTCGCTCATAAAGTACAGTAGATAAATACATCAAATCCAGCTGTTCCGAAAAATGATAAGATTTGATTTTATTATAATTATGTATGATATAATTAACCCACTAAGGATGTGCCTTCGGGTGCACCTCAAACAGAAAACCCAGCCACTGTGGGGTTGTAGCCTCCTAAGAGGAAGCGAATCTCTGGGGCTGAGGTAAAAAGGCGGAGGTAGCGAATGCCGACCCGCCAAAACCGGGCCCATCCTCCTCAGGGATAAACCCCAAGGGCAAAATGCAGGCTACAATAGCCAGCCCTAAACAACCCGGGGGAAAAAAGACCTCAGGGTCAAAAAAGAGAGTGTGGACTTCAACCTCCACACCTCCGGTAGCACAAAAGCTCTAAAGGACATAGCTACAGGTAGGTAGCTGCAAGTCACCTCCGTGTAGCCGTGATTGACGTACAGCATCCAATTGGTAAGCTGACTGTTGGCCAGGTGGAGATGGTATAAAATGGCCTGATGGGAGCACTGGACAGACAACTTGAACAGTGCCTAGCATCGGGAAGACAAGCAGCCACTTTCAGGGAAATCCTAAGGATAACCTGTGAAGACGACACCTTTTGCTTAGCACCTCTTAGCCATTACATAGAGGAAGCGGCAATAAGGACGTCTCCAAGACTTCACTCTCTGGGAGCATGGAACAAGCAAGGTCGCATAACGAAGCACACTTTTATCATGACGGAGGAGTTCAACAGAATACCCTTGTTAAGGATGGATAGTGACCGAATGGACACAAAATTAACAAATGAGAAGAAAACACCTTGCGTACCACACAGTGTGTAGTCAACTAAAGCGAAAATATTTCCACCCAATCTATTTTAATTTAAATTGCAACAACTTTGATGTATTTAATGCGGGTCAAGTTTTTGTCTTAACCTTTACCTTTGCACTTTTTAAAATTGACAACTCATCCTTGCAACTATTCGACAAGTGAATTTCAAAGGTGAAAACATATTCTTCCTTTAATATACTTATTTGTGACCACATAGAACAAGCACTGTTAAATTTTCTGAAAACTTCGGGACGATGGTTGACTTACCTACAATTCCTGAATTCTACCGCAACAAAACCATCTTCATAACCGGTGGAAGTGGTTTCATCGGAAAAGTCCTCGTCGAGAAGCTCCTTCGATCGTGTCCAGACCTGAAGACCATCTATTTACTCTTGAGACAGAAAAAGGGCCTATCTCCTGAAGAAAGAATCAAAACCATCACCGATTTACCAGTAAGTCGCTTTGTTCATTCGTTTCCCGTTTTTAATCCGTGTTTAGCTCTTCGACGTTCTCAAATCGAAAAATCCCGACTCCCTAAACAAAATTAAGATCGTTGTTGGCGATGTACGGGAGCTGGATTTGGGGTTAAATCTTCAGGAACGTCAAATCTTGATCGATGAAGTGAATGTCGTTTTTCATGGAGCGGCGTCAGTGCGTTTCGACGATAGCTTAACTGATGCTGTTATCATGAACACTAGGGGGACTAGGGAGGTTGCTAAATTGGTACTAGAGATGAAGAATTTGGATGTTTTTGTTCACATTTCGACGACTTATTGCAACAGCGATCGAAAGGTAGTCGAAGAAAGATTGTATCCTGCTGTTGCCGATTGGGAGAAGACTATAGAAATAGCGGAAAACATAGATAGACATACTTTGAACGTATTGGCCGAAAAGTATATACATCCGCAACCAAATACTTATACTTTTGCGAAGTCTTTAGGGGAGCACGTAGTCTACGATATGTGTAATGGAAGAATACCTCTTGTTGTTTATCGACCTTCTGTTAGTGAGTATAAATTAGTAGTTATACATATAACAGTCATCCCTATAGATAACAAAATGGTTGTACCTATGCCATTTCTGCTTCTCAAATTGACAAGTGTACAACGTTATTATGTACGTTACATAATGAAATTTCAACAATTTTCACCCTTAACACTAGGTTCATTATTAAACCAGTGTTGCTAATCACAGGACGTATGTCATCTCCTAGTGGAACTCGAAAAGTTTTCAGACGTTGTCAATTTTCTAGAGGAATAAATAAATTATTCGTAAATTATCTTAACTGTTTGTTAACAGTTATCAATACAAACATCGAACCCATCCCAGGTTGGATCGACAATTTCAACGGCCCCATAGGTCTCACGGTAGGTTGCGGAAAAGGCTTAGTGCGCATCATTTACTCTGACCCTAACAACATTACGGACTTTATGCCAGTTGACGTTACGGTGAAGGCTCTCATCATATCATCGTGGAAACAAGCTACATACAAGTATATTTTTTCTCTTTCCTTCCGTAGAAGTTATAAATCAGTTTCCAGAGACGCAAGCCACAGACTCAACCCATCATTCTACAACGGTAGTAATAACGACGTGAACAACACAACTATACAAACCCTCGTCGATTTGGGCACCAAAATATGGAAAGATAGCCCCTACGATAATGTTTTATGGTACCCCAACCCAAAAATCACCAAGTGCTACTACATTTATGTTTTTCAAATGTTGATGTATCAACTTATACCGGCTTTACTCATCGACGGCATGCTTAAATTAATGGGCGAACGACCGATGTAAGTATCGCAAGAATTACTTGTAGCAACATAAAATTTTAGAAGGGCGTATCTCAAAATGGGAATTTTCTATTCATGGCAGGCTTACTAAACTTCAGAGAAAAATTCACACTGCTA